AAGGAGAGTGAACTAAAGTTGTTACCTACAGTTTGCTGCAAGCGGCGTTCCTCCTTAAATAGGCTAAGGGAGTGGCCAATTAGTCCCAAGCCTTACTCTCGAGGAGACCTCCTCCTGAGGAGCCACTTCTGCCTTTTGGCAGCTCTGCGCGCCCGTGCATTGAGAAGAGGCTCCTCCTCTTCGTCCTCTTCACTTAAAGGAGCTGCTGGAGGTTCTGAAGGCCCTGGCTGAATCCCTGCCTCTGGCACCACATCTTCTCCAGCCTCCTCACTGTCCGACTCGAGCGCCAGCTGCACAGGCTGCTGGCGCAGCACCACACCAGCCTCCTCGTTGTCAGAATCGGCTACAATCTGCACAGGCCGCTGACGGGCCACAAGACCTATGGAAGGAAAGGCTGCTTTGTGCTTTGGGGCGCTGTTGATTTATGTTGCGAATGTTGCTTCTACCTGAGCAGGTTCTTCCTTCATCAGAACATCTTAGCTCATAACACGACTCTAAATGGAGAGACTCCTGGAAGTCATCTTTTGGACTGTCCTTGTATCGCCTTCATCATCTTAGCTTCCTGGAACTGAGCCCATCTCTTAATGAATTTTACCTCTCCCATCTCTTAATGAATTTTCTTCCATTTTGAGGCCTTTTAAAAATTGCTGCACTTTGAAGAACCTGCTCGGTGTGCAAGCATCCCAACCCTGGGTGCTTTTTATTCTCTCTCTCTTTTTAAAAACAGTCCTTTCCCTGGAGCTGCTGCTCCTCTCTATGCTTTCCTCGGTTCTTTGCTAATTCCCAGGCTGCTTTCTTCCCAGCCCTTCCTGTAAGCACTTAGCCCATGGCTTCATCTGTTCCCCACTTTAGTAGGTGGGGTCCTTTTAATTAGAGATTTGCAAACTAACGAGGGAATTGCTCCGCGCGGAGATGCAACATCAGCTTCCCTGGCTTCTGCCCGAGACCCTTTAGTTAGGGAAAAGGAAGGAAGGGATCATCGTATGGTGGATTGGAAATGGTGTAGATCGGGGTTTGCCCTCCAGGTATGTTGGGAAAAAAATGTACATTGTTATAAATCATGGGAGGTGCAGTTCAGAAGCATCTGGAGAAGATCAGGTTGTGGGGGGGAATGAGCCTTGGTAGTACAGTGGTCTAAAGCACCCTGTTATTAAGACCAGCTGCCTGCAATTACTGCAGGTTCGAATCTCGCCAGGCTCAAGGTTGACTCAGCCTTCCATCCTTTCTAAGGTAGGTGAAATGAGGACCCAGATTGTGGGGGCAATAAGCTGACTTTGTATAAATATGCAAAAGGATGAAGGCTATTGCTTAGCGCATTGTAAGCCGCCCTGAGTCTCCGGAGAAGGGCGGCATATAAATCAAATTAAAAAAAAAAAATTCAAATGTTCTGAATGAACCTAATGGCAAAACCTTCAGTTTTATTTTTCTACCTCACAACCAGGGGTGGGTTCTACTTATCTTTACTATGTGCTCTTCTGCGCATGCGTGGAAGCATTTTGATGACATCGGGGTCGGTGGGTGGAGCCTCCCGCCGGTTTTACTAGAACCGGTTCTATAGAACCGGTGCGAACCAGGGGCAACCCACCACTGCTCACAACCTACAACAGGGGTGTCAAACACAAGGCCCGGGGCCGAATCTGGCCTGCGGGGTACTTAGATCTGGCACGCGGGGCCACTCTGGAAACAGTGAAGGACCGGCCCGCGGTGCTTCTGCCAGCAAGAACAATGCTCGGGAGGGCCGGGTGTGGCCTTCCTGAGCTCTGTTTTCACTGGCAGAGGGTTGCAGGAGGCCATGGCAGCCAAAAACTGAGCTCGGGAGCCCGTTTTTGCTAGCAGAGTGCTCGGGCCACCACAGGTGCCCCTGACATGAATGACATTGACCTGGCCATGCCCCCCCCCCCCCCCCCCCACCCAGAAGTCAAACACAACCCTGATGCGGCTCTCAGTGAAATAGAGTTTGACACCCCTGGTGTACAAGCTAGTATCTTCCAGATATGCTTAGAATACTCAACCTACTTATCTTTGGTATAATAAACCATTGTTCCTAAACATGTTTGATACAATTAACATTGCACATTTATTGTCATTTTTCTATCCCTATTACTTAGTGGTTTCCTTTTTTAAATTCATATAATGGTCAAGTGAGTAAATCCTTCACTGAATTGTAGGACAAAACAGCAAGTTTCCTAAATTCTTAGGAATTTTATTTCTAAATTCTTAGTATTTTGCAGGAACCTGGAATCAAAAGCAGGAGACAAGGCAGACTTCCAGAAACCAGGAAATGACTGACACTTAATTCAGTTTCACTTACCTGTTATCCTGATTCATGCACATTTGTTAAGACTGTATGAATCTTTTTCAGCTGGATTATCTACAAATTTGAGAGAAGTGCCATCTGATTTTAATGTGATGACTTATCAAGGCAAGGACAAGCATGGAAACCAATTAGAGGATATACAAGGGATAAAAAAGAAACGCGAGACACAAAAAATTAGGATGGAGGTCAAACCCACAAAAAGAAAACAAAAAAAGAAATAGGTTGTACAAAAATAGAAATTTCTAATCCAAGCAACAGTGAAGCCAGTGATTTTAAAATATGAATGATTATGTGAAAACATAGAGGAGGCGACATATTGGTCAATATCATCCTGAGGATAGTGGCAGATCTCTGCATTGCCGTAATTTTGGGACATGGAAAGAGCCTCAAATTGATGGTTTTGAATTATCTACTTTGAAACTTCTTTTTGTGTTGATAAATATATTATAATTATCTTGAATTATAAGGCAAGAGAATCACATTGGGACATGCAGAAGATCGGGTTGTTACCTAATACGATGATGGAAATTAATAATCCTGATGAAACCCACAATTATTATTATATGGAATATAATTATAATGTCACTCGGGTGGTTGTTTTTACTTTTATATATATAAGAAGATGTTTACTACTGATGGGGGCAGATATGTTTGGAGATCTTGAATAAACTGTTGCATCAGCAAGCTATGTTACCCTATTATGGATGTTGGTTTTAACAATCCAGTGGAAAGACTTCAAGAAGATATTATATGGACTATAAATTTAAAGTTATTGTCTTTTCTTTTTTTATTTAGATATAATGGAATATATATATATATATATTTTTAAGTAGTGTGGGCAGTGAATTAAAGATATCAAGAATTGTTGTGTATGGTAAATTTGTAAGACAGTGGGTGAATAAGCTAGCTATAGACTGATTAGTTTAAGAAAAGGGATTTTTAAGTGATACATTTAGGGGAGTGGAGGAAATGGATAGAGTGGAATAAATGTTAAATTAGATTTTATGGGGAGCCCGCTTTGAAATGTTATTAAAGTAGGACTTATCGTATAGTTTTAAAGTGGAAGGTGGTTTTGAATTGTTGCAATAATGTATAGATATAAAACACTATTATGCTAAATTAGAAGTTATTTTATAATAGTTATAGTATAATGTGTTTGTTTTTTTTTTGTTTTTTTTCTCTTCTTCTTTTCTGAAATGTATGGATAAAGGGGGATTTATAATACTTTTAGTAAGTAAAGGTCAGTATTTTGAGGAGGGAGTAAGTAATCTGTTATGAATTAGGGTTTTTTTTTGTTACGAAGAAGTCACAGGGGGGGAAGGGTGGGGAGGGGGGGTTAGGGAGGGTGGGGAGGGGGGGGAAAAAGGGGGAAAAATTTGTATTTGAAAACCTTTTCAATAAAAAAAAAAAAAAAAAAGACTGTATGAATCTTTTTGAAGGAATGATTTGGTTGAGTTGCCTCTTGGAATGAATCAAAGAGCGGAATCTGAGAATTAATTCTTTTGAAGTGTCAAAAATATTTCTTTTATATAAAATTGACTCCATTTCTGCACTATCTCTGACTTTCCCTTAACCATTAACATAATCCACAATTGATCAAGACTAAAAACAACTGCTGAAGCAAAGATAAATACATTTTTGCAGAAGATCGCTAAATGGCGTCTCCACTAAATAATTGACAGACGAGCCGAAACTGATTAAATCAAGTAAAAATAGCAAACAGGGAAATCCTTTGCTCAAACTTCCTTGAACTTACAAATGAGTTACCTAGACTTAACACGCACATCAAAGAGGAAAGCCTGCAAATACAGTAAATTTAATTAAAATATCTTTCCCCACTGAAGTTATTCCTTTGAATTAGACAGCACATAAGGCATGTACACACTCATATCTTAAAAGGTAAAGTTCCCCTCGCACATATGTGCTAGTTGTTCCTGACTCTAGGGGGCGGTGCTCATCTCCATTTCAAAGCCAAAGAGCCAACGCTGTCCGAACACGTCTCCGTGGTCATGTGGCCGGCATAACTAAACGCCAAAGGCGCATGGAATGCTGTTCCCTTCCCGCCAAAGGTGGTCCCTACTTTTCTACTTGCATTTTTTACGTGCTTTCAAACTGCTAGGTTGGCAGAAGCTGGGACAAGTAATGGGAGCTCACCCCGTTACGCGGCTTCGAACCGCTGAACTGCCGACTTTTCAATCAACAAGCTCAGATTCTTAACCACTGAGCCACCATGTCCTTATACCCTGACAAAGACTACCTTCCCTATAAATATTTCTAGCCTCCATACCCCCATTTGTAGCTCCCTTTCGAGAACAGATTCCTTGCTCTTGAAAATAAACTACCTCCTTTCCTTTCAGTGTGTGTTCTTGTGAAACCTCGCCTTGAATTGAGACCCCAAATTAACTTGACAGAAGTATTTATGAAAGAGGTTTTTTCCTGCATTGTTTCAACATATCTTCTCCATTTTGTATACCATCTTATTCTTCTGGACTTTGTCAAGCGTTTCAACCCCTTTTCTTCAGGTAATAGTTCTTGCATATTTTTGAGACATTCACTTTCTTTAGTCTCTGTGGTTACTCCTTTGGTTCCTACACATTGTTATAGTGACAACAATGACATTTATTGTGTTCTACAGCAAAAGAAACCCATCATTTAAAAAGCAGCAAGAAGCAGGTACCTCACCTTGTGTCTGCACACATTTTTTAATATTACTTGTGCAACTACAAGGATTTGAAGCCGGCAAAGAAACACAACAAACCTGTAACAAATAGCCACGAGAAAGCATTCTGCAAAGGTCTTGCTATTTAAATTTGCAATCTTAATGCTTGTTTCATTTGGATCTTGGAAGGCCGTCCAAGGGTTTCCGGTAAGTCAAAGATTTCTGCCAATGCATCTAGTCCCTCACGAGAACTGATAGTTAGATTTTTCTTCTGAGGACATGGTCATAGATAACCACTTGCAGGTAGAGGTCTGTTTTGATTGGAATCCGTGTTGTGTTGTCTCCGGGAAATGCCTAAGAACCAAATATTAGCCATCGTCAGACAGAGGTAGAGGTGAAAAAATAAGACCAGTTCCAAACATATAACGATGTTCTCACAACATAGTGAACGAAAAACTAGCAAATCACATTATAGCATGGGTGTCAAACTCGATTTAATTCACATCAGGGTTATGTTTGACCTCGGGGGCAGGCGTGGCATGACTGTGGGGGCATGGCCAGCTCAATGTCACTCGTATCGGGGGCATCTGTGGTGGCCAAGTGCTAAGGCAGGACTTCCCTCAGACTTTCCCTCCCTCTCATTATAATTTATTTCCTTCCTTCCTTCCTTCCTTCCTGCCTGCCTGCCTGCCTGCCTGCCTGCCTTCCCTTCCCTTCCCTTCCCTTCCCTCTTCATTCTCCTTTCTTCTTCCTTCCCCTCTTTTCTTCTTTTTTCCTTCATTGCTCTCTTCCCATCTTTTCTTCTTTTTCTTTGTCTTTCCTCTTTCCCTTCCTCTTTTCCTGTTCCTTCTTGGATGCTCAAATGCAAAAGGGGAAACATTTCTCCTTTTGTTTTGTTTTTAGTTTGTTTTGCTAGGGGGGTCTGTGCATTTTCACTGGCAGAGGCACCCCAGGCTGGTCCTTCGCTGTTTCCAGGGCAACCCCGTGGGCCAGATTTAAGCACCCCCAGCTCACGGGCCTTGAGTTTGACACCCCTAAGCTTGTAACTAGTATCTGTACAAACTTAGAAAACTTGATTAAAGAACATGGGTTTAGTATGTCATGAAAACACAGCCCCTTCTTAGATTAGATGACTGTATAATTCATTGCAATCTTAGGTAATCTTTCCTACCCAAAGTAGTCATTTTGGCAAATCTTGTGGGAGAGCCAGTCATGAAAAAATCTTCACACAATTCAAGAAACCAAGTTTTCGTGTATGATATCTCTTGCATGCATGATATTTCTAGGAATATTCCGATTGTCAGAAGTGCAACCGACAAAACGGTAAAGCATTTGTCCGTACAGACATCAAGAAATGAATCTGATTTGACAGATTCATACAACATTCATACTTTTTAGGTACTGTAAACTTTTGGTATGAACGTTATGTTACATAGAGTTTGGGACCTGGGCAGCATACAAGTTTAATAAAATGATGATGATGATGATTCTTGACCTCATTAGACTTCACATAGCAGTACAAATGAGGAAAGGCCATCTCGTTTTTAAATCCTTCCTACCCCATTTGAACAATCTCCATTAGTGTTTCTCAATTGTCATGTTGGCTGAAGAACTCAGGGAGTTGAAGTCTACACCTCTTAAAGTTGCCATTGCCTTAAAGCAGCAAGTATGCACAAAAATGGAAGGACATTTTGATTCCTACTATGGACGAATGGTTGTAGAAGTTGATGGAGTTGGCGGAAATGGCAAAATTGACCACTTTGATTAAAGAAAAGAACCTAAATACTTTTGTTTCCACATGGAGACCGCTTCTGAACTTCGTGCTTGATGTGGAAAAGAATGAACATTTGACTTTGGGTTTTACCGATTAGACTAATAGATCTTTATAGAAATGGCTTGTTCATATTATTATGAAAAAGCAAAAAGTTGTGATTTGATGTTAATGCCTTATTTTACTGTAACAGAGAGAGTCAGAAGTCAATGTTTCTTTTTCTTTCTTATCTTTCTTCATTTCTCTTTCCCTTCTTCCCCACTGCTTTTCTATTTACTTTGTATATTGTATTGTATTGTATTTTGTGTATTGTATTGTATTTTGTGTATTGTATTGCAGTTCAAAATATTGTATTGTAGTTCAAAATATTGTATTGTAGTTCAAAACATTTTTAAAGATCCATTTCATCCTGGGCACCCTTTTTTTTTTTTTTTTTGAACTATTACCATCCGGCAGATGGTACAGGATAATAAAATCAAGGACAAATAGGCTGAAAAGCAGCTTCTATCCCAGAGCAGTAACTATATTGAATTCTACTGTATAGCACAATATTAATGCAATATCAGGGGTTTTCAATTCAATTGTATAGAATGCGAAAGATATGTATTTTATTTTTTATAGTTATAATGTACACTGAAGATGGCATTTAATTTCGTTGTACGAGGTGCAATCAGTGGTGGGTTGCTCCCGGTTCTGTCCGGTTCTTGAGAACCGGTAGTAAAAACGGTGGGAGGCTCTGCCTACCTGCCCTGACGTCACATTTGGTGAGAAGCTTCTGCGCATGTGCGCTCCCGTTGCAAACCGGTAGTAAAGGTAAGTAGAACCCACCCCTGGGTGCAATGACAATAAAGTAAACTAAAACTAAAACTTTATATTTTATAATTCAATTAAAAAATGTTGACCTATAAAAGTTTGTCATTGCCTCCTTCCTAGAACTGAAGAAGAGTGATAGGCCTAAGGTCACCAGCTGACTTCATGCCTAAAGTGGGACTAGAATTCAGGATCTCCTAGTTCAGTGATGGCTAACCTTTTTGCTATCGCGTGCCAGGAGAGGGGGGGCCGGGGAGGGTTGTGCGCGCACGTGCCCACGCGCATGTGTGCGCAACCCCCTCCCCCCCGCTCCTGGCACAGGATGCCTGGTAGGCCCATTTTTCTTTCTTACCTGGTTCCAGATCCTCTCTGTGTATCTGGGAACGGCGAAAACAGCCTTTCCCACTCCCTTGGAGGCCCTACGGAGGCTGAAAGGGCCCATTTCCCCCAACTCCCCGTGGGACAGGAAGTGACATTTTTTGCTGTCCCCAGCCTCCAGAACCTCTCTAGGAGTCTCTAGGAGCCTCTCTAGGAGTCTGTAGGAGCCTCTCTAGGAGTCTCTGGAGGCTGGGGACAGGAAAAAAAACGTCACTTCCTGTCCCACCGGGAGTGGGGAAATGGGCCCTTTCAGCCTCCGTAGGGCCTCCAAGGGAGTGGGAAAGGCTGTTTTCGTCGTTCCCAGATACACAGAGAGGATCTGGAGCCAGGTAAGAAAGAAAAACGGGCCTTCCCCACCCCTCCCAGGCCCTCCAGAGGCAGGAAACAGCCTGTTTCCCTACTTCTGGTGGGCCCAGAAGGCCTGAAAATCAGCTGGCCGGTGCGCGCATGCGCCCCAGAGCTGAGCTGGCATGCCCACTAATATGGCTCCGCGTGCCACCTGTGGCACGCGTGCCATAGGTTCGCCATCACGGTCCTAGTTTCTAGCCAGGTGCCTTTAACCACTAACTGAACAGGTACTTTTACCTCATATTAAGGTAAGTTTTGAGAAACCCTGGGTTATATGACTCTGCTCTCACCCAAACAATGGAAGAGAAATATTTCCCCACTCATATAAGGACTCTGGATGCACTGAGGATCCTTGATTGATGATAGTCCTTTGTCCCTCACAAGCATTTGAGAAGCGTACAGTTTCCCATCACCTCTATACATCAGGAGATACAGTTGTATTCAATCATTTCCATGCACACCACACAAAAAGAGATCAGCAAACTAATGCCTACGTCTTTAAAGTGTCCAGATTCTTTTGGGCTTTAATGCTTAAAGTATACATTTCACACAGCAAGAGAAGGTCTGCTTATTCATTACAGATGTTCCACAGCTGCTGGAACTTAGGCCGGTGACCCACTTTGAGTGCAACCAAATCCACTTTCTAGGTATGCATTTTTAAATGTCTCGCAAACCAACGCGCTCATTTCGAATGTGTATAATTTGATATTTCGTACCGATGCTATTCATATGCAACCATCTTTCGTGGGAAGCACTTCAAAGAGACCATCCTCCGAGAGTTGTTTCTGCACAAACCGAAACAAATTACTGCCTGGCTGACTCTGGTTTGGTTTGGTTTGACAGGAACCAAAGCAATGGGTGTGTTTGTCCTATTCAAACTCTGCCTCAGGACTTTGTAAAAGAGGGCGGTGAGGAACAATTGGATGTGCTCCTATTGCAAGATATAGGACCATTGTTCCTTAGAGCAGTGTTTCTCAACCTTGGTAGCTTGAAGATGGGTGGACTTCAACTCCCAGAATCCCCCAGCCAGCAGCGCTGGCTGGGGGATTCTGGGAGTTGAAGTCCACCCATCTTCAAGCTTCCAAGGTTGAGAAACACTGTCTTAGAGGGAAGCTTCCATAATTCCTTGCAAGCGAGCAAAGAAACAAACTCACAAATGGGTAGGCCTCAAATCAGCCTAGCATGTCCCATTTTATTGGAAAAGTAGGCCTTTGGTTGGTAGACTCCCATTGGTGGTTGGTTGGTAGACTCTCTCGTGGTGTGTAGACTACATCATCCGTGATTGAATTATGACTAGGGTTGCTTTGTTGTGGAGAGAAAAAATGGTTTGAGTTCCATTTGTGAGGAACCTCTTGTTGGCCACAATCTCTTGTATTGTTACCTCCTTTAGGAGAGAAAAAAAAAATCATTGCTCAGCAGAAAGTCCTATGTTTTCCCACAGAGAAGGCTGAGGTTTTGACAAGATATGAAAAAGACGCTAAAATATATGGTTTTTACTTAGAAAAGACAGAGTTGGATAGGATACTCATAGGAACAGAGGATAAATTAAGGACCTAAAGACGTGGCTTTTTAAACAACTCATCTGATCTGCGGGGTGTTTTTAATTGGTTTTAATATGGGTTTTAAATTGTGAGATTTTAATTATGCTAAATTAATTATATATATTTTTATTCTTCGGTTTTTAACCTTTTGTGAGCCACCTCGAGTCCTTCGGGAGAAGGGCGGCATATAAATTTAACTTAATTAATTAATTAATTTTTAAAAAATTATAATTTTTTACTTGGCATTGAGTTAGAGGACGAACAAGTAAAAGAAACAATGATAGCTTGGGCAAAGAATTTTGGACACTCAGTTGATTTAGACAAATGGCAACAGTTATGGGAAAGGAATTATAAGCTAACAATGTCCACTGCATATTTATTTATTTATTTATTGGTTCGATTTATATGCCGCCCTTCTCCTGAAGAACCGAAAGAAAAAATATATAAACAAATATAAAGAGAAGCAATATAAAATGTTTTACAGATGGCAGATGCCCCCTGAGAAA